CCATCACAGGGACACATGGACAGGTCTCCAGTCCATCACAGGGACACCTGGAGATAAACAACCATTCTCTCTCACCTAGAGACAATTTAGAGTTCTCAACCAGCCTAACATGCATGTTTTTGGTCTGTGGGAGGAAACTGGAGTACCTGGAGAAAACCCATGCAGCAAGGCGAGAACATGCAAACTCCACCCAGAAAGGTCCCGGGCCGGGATTTGAACCGGCGACCTTCTCACTGAGAGGCAACAGCTCTGCCAACTGAGCCACCCAGAACTCCACACCACAAAAAGGAAAACGAAAGCGTAAAAGCAGCAACTGGGAAACCATTTCTGTAATTAGTTGGATTACCTCGTGCTCGTTCTGAGTTCCTGCAGTGAAAAAACGGCTTTTCTTTTCATTGTTACTAATAAAAAGTGGGTATTAGAATAAAAGCTCAAATCCAAATTGCAGGTAAGAAGAGTCTTGGATGTGCCCAATTCTGGCTGAGAGCTAATTTTAATAATCAGAGTAAACCTGAACAACTTTAAGCTGCAAAACTTTCATCCTTGACTACTTTACACACATTCATCAGTTTTGCACCAAAGTTTTGTTGTAAATTTGGTAATACTCAATAATAGTAGTGATATAAGACTTCCGCAGAAAAGTGTGTATGGTGGGTATCCCTGGCTTGGCGCTTTGTCAGTGTCTCTTTTGCATCCTCTCACCCCCACTGATGGTAGAGGCAGGATCCCGTTCTTCTCCTTTGGTTCGGCTCGAGATCTTTATGTGAAATTTGTCTTCTCTGCATTTTCAACCCACCATGAGCAGTTTTCAACTCAGTTTCATGACTTTCTTTATTGTACAACTATTTGAATCTACAGTAGTCCCTCGTTTATCGCAGGTGTTAGGGACCACGCTCCAAACTCTTTGAGTGACAGCTGACTTTCCTCCAGATAAAACTTTAAATATTTTTGCTCACTTTTGTTAACGAAAGTGCTGGTCGCCCTGATTCAAATCCCGACTGGGGGGGGGGGGGGGGGGTTTACATGTTCTCCCCGTGCTGCGTGGGTTTTCTCCAGGTACTCCAGTTTCCTCCCACAGATCAAAAACATGCATGTTAGACTGACTGGTAACTCTAAATTGTCCCTAGGTGAGAGAGAGAGTGAATGATTGTTTGTCTCTTTTGTCTCTAGGTGTCCCTGTGACGGACTGGAGACCTGTCCAGGGTGGTTTTTATTTTCATTCAACATTTATTTATACTGGTTAGTCTGTATAGTCTATTAGTCTGTTTAGGTGTACCCCGCCTCTCGCACAGTGATGGCTAGACATACCATACCATACCACTTTATTTATAAAGCACTTAAAACAGCTACAAGGCCAACCAAAGTGCTGTACAGACAGAACAACAGGTAACACACAAAGCAAAATACAAAATGAGGTAAATCAGAATATAGACATAAAAACGATGCAGATAATGACGACTAACCAGTGTGGAGCATACAGGATCAAAACACAGATCATCTGGTGTTGAAAGCTACTGAATAGTAGTGAGTTTTTAAACAGGACTTGAAAACAGAGAGGGAGGGGGCCTGTCTGACAAGCAGAGGTAACTCGTTCCAGAGTCTTGGTCCTGCTACAGAGAAGGCCCTGTCACCTCTGCGCTTAAGACGAGCTCCTGGAACTGTGAGGAGCAACTGGTCCGCTGACCTCAGGGAGCGTGGTGGGACATACGGTTGTAGCAGATCAGAGAGATGGGGGGGGGGGGGGGGGGGG